CTGCGATGAACATGGTTGAACATATGTCCTTGTTGTATGAACGTGCATTATTTGGGTATATACCCAAGAGAGGAATGGCTGGATCTTGAGGTAGATTGATTCCCATTTTTCGGAGCAATCGCCATACTGATTTCCAGAGTGGTCTTACAAGTTCACACTCCCACCAGCAATGGAGGAGTGTTCCTCTGTCTCCACATCCTCTCCAGCATAAACTGTCATTGGCATTTTTGATTTTAGCCATTCTGACAGAAGTAAGATGGTATCTCAGAGTTGTTTTGATTTGCATTTCCCTGATGACTAAGGATGTTGAACATTTTCTTATGTGTCTTTCAGCCATTTTAGATTCCTCTATTGAGAATTGTCTATTTAGTTCTGTACCCCAATTTTTTAATTGGAATGTTTGGTGTTTTGGAGACTAGCTTCTTGAGTTCTTTGTATATTTTGGAGATCTGCCCTCTGTCAGATGTGGGGTTGGTGAATATCTTTTCCCAGTCTGTGGGCTGTCGTTTTGTCTTGCTGACTGTGTCCTTTGCCTTACAGAAGCTTCTCAGTTTCAGGAGGTCCCATTTATTAATTGTTGATCTCAGTGTCTGTGCTACTGGTGTTATGTTCAGGAAGCGGTCTCCTGTACTGATTAATTCAAGGGTATTTTCCACTTTATCTTCTAGTAGGTTCAGTGTGGCTGGGTTTATGTTGAGGTCTTTGATCCATTTGGACTTAAGTTTTGTGCAGGGTGAAAGGCTTGGGTCTATCTGCAGTCTTCTACATGTTTGCATCCAGTTATGACAGCACCATTTGTTGAAGATGTTCTCTTTGTTCCAGCATATATATTTGGATTGTTTGTCAAAAATCAGGTGTTCATATGTGTGTGGGTTAATATCAGGGATTTCAACTCTATTCCATTTGGTCTACCTGTCTATTTTTGTGCCAATACCCTAGCAAATGGATGCAACCTGACTCCCCTCTCCCTTGTTTACAGTTCCCCCCACCTAGAACATTCCCTCTCTGTATCCAGCATGACTCCTGGGACTTGAATCTAACTGAGGGCTGTGAGTGAACAAAGAAATGATAGACAGAAAAGCTGGGTTAGGTGGTCTTGGCTCTTGGCTGGGAAAGCCTCATCATCCCAGAAGCTCAGGGTGTTTAGTACATAGAGTTGAACAGTGGCACAGGGTTGCTGCATAGCCAGACAAGGAAGTTGGGCGGGGGCTAGGTCTACAGCCGGATGAAGGGGACAGGCCCAGCTAATCTCTGTAGGAGTTGTCTCTGTTGTGGAGCAGTTTTCAGGCCATAAATATGGGGGGGCACTATGGTGGACATTTTCTGTACACACTGTAAACACTTGCACTCGGTCCCCCAAGGAAGGCACTGCCATTTCCTTCTAAGCCTCCCAGGTGGCAGGGAGGCTTTGGCATTCCTCCAAGGTTCTGAGGCTCTGGGATCCTGAACATGGCCATGATCATGTCAACGGCACTCAAAGCTTCAGTCACTTGGGGCTTCCTGCACTCCCCACACTCTCTCTCCTGCTCATCTATGATTCTCATGAGGGTCACTACTATGTTGTCAGGTCATCTCAATCCAAGCCCTTCATTTTTGGTGCCTGCTATTCCCAGTTTAACTTTACATGGTTTGTCTCCCTGAAGCATTTTGAAACCTTATTGAGAATCCAGTTCACAGCTGTATAGTTCATGTTTCCTGTAAAATATCTCAAACACAGCAGACACTTAAGAACTTCCTGTCAGTTAGAGTGCTTTGATGTCAGTAACAAAATCCTACTAAAAAATGGCTTAAGCAGTAAGGAAACCTCACTTTAACAAGCCAGGATGTAGGAACTTAGGAACGGTTTTGCTTCAGTTGAGCAATGCCAGTATTTGTTCTCCATGCTCCCTTCACAGGGATTCTGCCGCTACAGTTAGAAAAATATCATTGGAAGTGAGACAGTTATCTTCTAATGCACTACTTTTTTAAGTAAAAAATGTACTTTTAATTGATTTTCAGGTAAAAACTACACAGGGAGGAATATCAGCGATTAATTCTGGCCCTAATTTATCAGAGCCATATCATCTACATTAGAAAAAACAAGGCATTATGTCCTCACAGGTCACATGTGTGGCTGGCTACCAAATCTGGTCTTTTATATTCCGTATTTGTTCTTCAGCTCTTCCACTTTCTCCACATAGGTTTTCATGGCACTTTCCTTAGAAGTTTCTTTAAGTTTATTCCAGGAATCCCACTTGGCCTTGCCTTTGAGGTCCAAAAGCCTGGACCAATCTGTATTTACATCACCCACGGTGGCTTGTTTGAAGTGGCTGTAGATGAAGAGCATCTCTTCTTCGTCACTTGGCTGGGTCTTGAGGTGCTTCACCTCCTCAGCAATTTTGTCAAATTCAGCCTGAGACCTTCCGGCGAGGTGACCTGGATCTCGAAAGTGTGGGAGAAGTACAGGCAGGGAGCACTCAAGTTCTAGAGCGCACAGGGTAGCTCCCTAATGCACTTCTTTTGGGAAGTAGTTTTCTGAACACTGTCATTCTCAAGGAAGTTGTATTACAATCTGACAAGGTGGCTCAGCAGGGAAAGGTGCCTGCCAACAAGCCTGGTAACCTCAGTTAGAGACTCAGAGGGTGAAGGGGAGAACAGAGTACCACAGTGGTCCTTTCATGACATGTGCATACACACAGACACACACACATACACACACACACACACACACACACACACACACACACACAAATACAATCTTTTTTAAAAATATTTTTAAAAAGTTGTTTTTCCCTTCAGCACAGTCAATCACTAGCCATTCCTCAGTAGGACACTCACTGGAGAAGTGACATTACCTTGATTTGCTGAAAGAAATTCATGCCCAAGTGTAGGAGAGAGCTGCACAAATCACCACTGTGCCAGTCAGGAAACAATGAGGGAGGGGAAGGAGAGAAAAGGAAGTGTTATCGGTATAAGTGGTTGGAATAAGAACTGGTATCTTTAATAATACATCCCAGTGGTCATTATAAGCACTTTTGATATATTAATGCATGAAGTCCTCACCACACCTTAAGAGATGGGAAATGCTGTCATTCATTTTAAGATGACTAAACTGAGGAAAGAATAAAGTCACTTGTCCAGGAGCTGGAGAGCAGCTACCAAATGGTAGAACTAGAAATGAAACCGAGGAGTCCGGCTTTGGAGCTCATGTTAGGTGCCGTGTATATTTTCCTCTCTCAACCAAAGTCGCCTACTTCAAAATGCACAGTAGGCTATTGGGACAATGTCAGCCCCGTGATGGGGATTTGATTGGCTCCTACTGCATACACATTCTAAGGGAGTCAATTTGTTCACCAGGGTAGCCAAGGGAATGCAGCACTCCAGCTGACCAGTTCTAAGATAAACACATAGGTATCTACTCTTGAGGTTGTTTTCCTGTCTTAGAAAGTTTTAGATATGAACAAACTAATTTTGCATAGGAGAATCATCTCACTGCTTTGGATGACTGCATGTGCCCATAGGCCCAGCCTTGCAAGGGACTTTGGATTTCTTTTGTCTATTGGGAGCTAATAGCACTTAGCCTCCAATGTATTTTTAGATTCTGGTCCTGAGATTTTGTTGTTGTTGCTTTGTTTTTCCTGTTTTAGTAGTGTTTGTTAAAGCCTATTTTACATGAAGAACTGTAATTTAATCCCTCTGAAACTATAGTGTTCTCTTTTACTTCTTTTACCACCTAAATAAGAGGATCAGAAGGGCGGCTGTGCCAAGTCAACTTGCCTGACTCATTTAATCCCCAAGTTCAGGGCTTTGGTTAATTACTAAACTCCTTAGACATATTTGTAAGTTTATATTCTTTCATTTGGTACTATTTACCAGGAGTTTTTTGTTTTGCTTTTGAATAGGCTGCCTTGAAATCACCATGTAGTCGAGGGTGGCCTTGAATTTCTGATCCCCTTTCCTCTACCTCCCAAATGTTGATATTACAGGTATGCCACAGCACCCCATTCGTGTGGTTCTGGGGTGCGTGCCAAGTAAATTCGCTCTTACCAAATGAGCTATAGCCCAGCCCTCCTTTTCCAGGAGTTTTAAGGGAAGCCCAGCAGGTGCACACTAGACATGCTGCAATATCAATACAGTACTTGTAGGTAAAAGCAGTGGACATTTGTGTTTCCATGACATCTGAAAGTTGGTCTGCTATATGGAGTTGGGCCATGTCCCTCAAAGCTGAAGGCAAGGCCATGGTAAGGCAAGTTCATAGCTAGTAGTTGAACCTTGCCAATCAGCTGACATTGCACAGACAGAGCTTCACTGTGGACTACAGCCTACACAGTAACTTCTGTGAACTGAGCCAACAGAACAAACCAAAATCGTGTGTGTGTGTGTGTGTGTGTGTGTGTGTGTGTGTGTGTGTGTGTCCCCAAAGGAAATACACTGCTGATAAAATGAAATAGTTGAAGAAAATTTTGGTTCTTAGCCAAAACATAAAAAGAATAGCCAGTCAAGTTAAGAAGATGCCAGCTCTATGCCACAAAAGATATGCTCTTCAACAGGGCAGACCCAGAGACCCCCTAGCCACTGGGATTGTGAGTGTCCTTTTCCTTTAGAAGCTAAGTAGGAGGTTTGAGCTGAGCCTCTCCATCCATATACAGGGCAAAGCCTTCCAACCCCCCTCCCCC